CCACCAAATTTTTTTCCTATTTTCGATGTTAAAGAGTTTTCATTTTTACCTCTTGACATCATTTCTGCCAACTCATCCCTAATCCTAATATCATCAATGGTAATATAATTTACCAAATACCGTAAAAATACTTGGGTAGAACGAAGCATTTGTAATTTTATTGGATTACTCGGTTCAAAGAGGCATCCAAAGTGCGTTAAGACTTGTATATGTTCATTACAAATCGGTTTTTGTGTCCATGGGATTCGGCCCCATCGCGCACCCAGTCAGAGTTCGCAGACATCGCGTATTTCGTTGTCGAAGGATCTGGATTGGGTAAATGCACGGCACGCTCACATGCGACAGCTAACCGCCAAACGAGGCCACAACGCGATTATATTCTCTTGTATTTAGAGGACCTGGCTGACCTTGACTTTATAAACTTTTAACCCATCTAAACGCTTTGCTGACCCGATATTATCTAATCAAGGAAAAATTGTTTTACAGCAAGAATTTCGAGACACGCAAAAATGCTCGAGATTAGCCTTTAAAAAAAGGAACTTCCTGAGAACGGAAATGGGAATATTTAATGGACTCAAGGACATTATATCAGTATGAATAAGGCGACACCCTTTCAAAGCGAAATACGATTTTCCAACTCCCCTCTACTAACATTGCCAGGGTAAATCAGTGGGCTTTTACCCGGACAATCAATACGTGGGTAAGCTTCACGGGACTCTCCTTTAGTCTTATACGGATGGGCTTTGCACCAATTTGATTCACCTTTGGGTAGAAATCTCTACTGAGGTTTAAACACTGCTGGTCATACACCTCATAGTCGCGGTGGCGGTTACCTGAACGAGATGGTGCTATATCCAAATGGAGTTCTGTGCCCTAAACACTTTCTTTGACGTAAATCGTGCTATTGACACAGAGACTATGGGTGAGTGCTTCCTGTCAGATAAAGTTGTTTCTGCTCCCATAGGACTCAGAGCCCGTATGGAAATGGCTCTTTAAAACACTTGATATGTTTAATGTTTTGTGCAACAAATACAGGCCTTGGTACATCAACAATTGACAGAGAACAAAGAAGAGTAGTCGGAAGCGTGCAAATGCAAGTCTACCTGCATGTCGTTGTCCACAAAATCAACTACGCTTTTTAGAAAACACGGCAAATGAGTATGCAGACTGCGTCATTATTTCACATGCCCTAAGTACAGCTTACGAGTTTGCAATAAGGCATTAATTGCTTTGTGAACTGTACTCTAAACTGTCTTATATAACGCTGCCCATCAGCATTATATGTCTATTTTGTAACCTACCGACGAACAAGTTAATGCTCCTAAAGTTGCCAATTCCCAAATCTTAGGTTCAGTTTTTATCCAGAAAGTGCAAATTTATTTTAACGAGGGTTTCTTGCTCTGACTCTTTCTGTGATGGTCGATGCCCTGCCGTCATTCCACTTTGTTTAAGCCCTCAACAACCTCGCTTCGCGTTTTAAGAGTTGTTGTCTTCGAGTGTGGTCGAATGTCGAAGAGTAACAAACGTCGTAGATTGGATTTTCCGGAAGTTAAAGGATGGGTGCCATATAAGCCCTTCTCAAAAAATAGTAGGTTTCTCGATAAATTCATCACATCCTCACAGAGGAAGAAATACTTAAGGGATTGGATGAAAAGTCTGAACGTGTTGATGCACCTGAAAATTGGAAAGAACCGAAATTTAATCCGGAAGATAATCCCAATGGTCGCCTTTACTCACAGTCAACTTTCTCAACGCTTTTTCCACAGTATCGTGAAAAGTATCTGCGTGAAGTTTGGCCGGCTGTTGTAAAAATTTTGCGCGAACATGTATGATTGCTGGCTTACTTGTGCACTTTAACCCTTATTTTTTACTATTCTACCTTTCCATTGCTTATAGTATGTCAAGGCTGAGCTGGACCTTGGTGAATCTACTATGGCTGTTCATACGACCCCCAAAACCTTCGATCCATTTATAATTTTAAAGGCACGAGATATGATTCGTTTGTTGGCCCGTTCCGTTCCTTTTGATGTCGCCGCTCGGGTTTTAAACGATGATATGTTTGCTGATATTATTGAAATCAAGCTCAAAAACCGGGAAAGGTTTATTAAACGACGAAATCGATTGATAGGCGATGAGGGCAATACACTGAAAGCCATTGAACTCTCAACCAAGTGTTACATTATGATTCAAGGAAAAACCGTTGCGGCTGTTGGACCCTATGATGGACTTAAAAAGGTTAGTGGCTTTGTTTAAAGGTGTAGTGAACTTGAAGGCACATCCCTACTGTAGCGCAATCGGAATTAGTCAGCCCCGTGTACTTTATGTTTATACACTTTAAAATGTTGGGTACTGTTATTCCATCAAAATGGGAGATCACCTAAGTTCTAAATTCTTATGCCTTTTAATATAGGTACGACAGGTTGTGAACGGATGTATTTACGATAATATCCATCCGGCCTATCACATAAAGCGTTTTGTTATTATTCAAAAATTGATGTCGGATCCCAACAAAAAGAGTATCTCCTGGGAAAAGTTTCTGCCGAATATCAAGAAGAAATCCCTCAGTCGACGACGAAAGCCTCGGAATGTAAGACATTTTCCTGTCCATACCTATTTTGATTAGTTGCTATCATTGTCATGGTGTTAAGTCGAGATGTTTTTTGATTTTTTCGTTTACTAGCATAGTCTGCCCGTTTGTTGCTGTCTATATAACCAAAGGTAGTTATTGTTTTGCGCTTGTTTTTAACAGTGGTTTTTGAATAGGAGATTGGAATTTGCATTGGTCGGGATTCTGTGCGTACCTGTTGAGATACGTACAGTAAAATGACACCTTTTCCTACTGTTTCACTAGGTGCGAAAGAAGGGCGAATACACGCCGTTCCCACCACCACCACAGCCGTCAAAAGTGGATATTGAGCTGGAAAAAGGCACCTACTTCTTGGCGAAAGCAGAAAAACAACGAGTCAAAAAACAGGCAAAGGTGGCCACATCGGAAGAGACTTCCAGAATCCGTCAACGAGAGAAGCGTGCGGCCGCTTTTGTGGAACCCAAAGAAGGGAAATAATGTGTATTCATTCTTACGGATAGATATGTTTTCGCCTCGTTCTTGTACTATCTTGATACCTATAGTGGGGGCTCGCTCTCAATGTACTTGGGTTTAGTTTTTTGGGGGAAGATCGCATTCAGGGTTGGATTATATTTAGTTTAGCTTGTTGTCTGTTCGGGTTATCCGAGCATAAGATACGGATCTGGGGTAGGTGAGATTTGCCTTCGTTCCGCTGTTTTCCTTAACTCCAGCATCGGGACTGAGGCTGCTTTAGTGGTTAAGTCCTTTTGAGACTGGGTGCACTTCTTGAATACTTTAAGTGTCACTTGTAGGCTATACCAACTAAATTGTTTGAATCATCTAAAATAATTGGAAATAGGGTCGGATGCTTCATGTGGGCAATTCCATTCTATGGTATGGCCCTTGGGCCATGTTAACATGGTCCTAATTCTTCTGTACGCTAGTTGTATCAATTTTTTTGAAGTGCATTGATATGGTACGACTTAGGGGAAGACTTAAGCCGCTACAATGACTGACCGAAAGCAAATCCGATCCAAAAGCTAAGCATACTGATTCTCAATGCAGACTACCGGAAGGGGAATTGCTCCGTGTAGTGGTATTTAAGAGGACTTTTAATGGACGTATATCTTTGGCAGTTGTCACGATCTTGCTTCCTCCAACTAAAGCAGGATTAGACTTGACAGATTTGCCTATGCTCATTATGGTGCCGCATGCAATACCCATACGCCGACAATACGTACGTGAGAAAGCGGCAAAGCTCCTGCATCTCTACAAAAAAAGACTTAAGTAAGAAAAAAGTAGTTAGAAGGAGGAATAAGATTCGTGCGATGTATAATTAGTTAATTTTTTATTAAAAGACTTTGCTTTAGTTAGGTTTTCTTGGTGGATTACGGTTAGACTACGAAGACAGTTCGGCCTTAAGCAGCATGAATTCCACGAATTCCTCCTGCTTCAATTCTGTTCAAAAATACACCAAAAACTACACATATTTGTTTTGCTAGAATCTGTCACTGACTTTGGCTTCAAATACATTATCAAAAGTAAGAAAATTTGATGTCTGCTGCTCACCCTTCGAGAGAAAGATTTTGAGGCTACGACTGCGTGAAGACAAAAGAGAGACAACATTAAAAAAGGAGAGTACTTAGTGATTTGGTACTCTGTCTGATTGCGCCCCGAGTCTTTTCTGAAACGAGACGACAATTTTTGGGCAGAATACGTGTATCCGATATGCGGAAGGCATTAGGGCTACTAATATGGCCCAGCGGTTAGCCCATCCAGTAAAGCACAATGATTGAGATCAAGTGGACCTTTACCAAAACCGAGAGTTTGGGAAACAGCGTGTAACGCTTAAGTGGGCGACCATTGCAGTATTCAGAGTTTACATTTCTTCGAAGCGGCATGGCATTTAAGACTCACTACCGACCCTGTTGCGAGATAAACTAAAGGCAGTGCTACTCTAGTATTACGTCAAGCTACTTGAATAGAGAATTTAGTAATCTGCTTGGGTCTTTAAATTGAGTTCAGGAGGCAGATGCCCTCTTATGCTGTCGTTTTTCAGGAATATACATATGTGTAAAGATATGTGGTCGAAATTCAGTGTTTATCATATTCAAAATACGCGAAGAGGGTTCCTTCTTTAGCAGTATCGTTTGTTTTAATAGACCAACAATACTTGATTCACAGGTCATTGAGCACCCTATTTATAAGCGGGGACTAGACTGAACGGTGAGTACCGTGGTCTTCGGTTAGTACCTCTTAGAATGCGGTGAACTTTTCGCGAAATAGCCCTGGTGTTAACGAATATGCCTCCTGTCGCTGATTATTTTTTCATTGCTGGCTTGAATCCAGAAATTCAGCTGCAGCCTTATTTTCCTCGTAAGTTCGGGGGTTTATTTTGTATTGTTTTAATATAATAACTATCTGATGACTGTAGGAAGTGAAAAGCCTTCGACCCCTTTGCGGTTATTCCACCTTTGTAGACTACATGTGCTATATTCTGTCAAAATTTTTATCCTATTGCAATCATCAGATCTCTGGAAGTCAGAACACATTTTATTCCCTCATATTTTCTTTCTCACACAATTTTTCTAACACCAGGCTTTAATCCTATTACCACTTTTGGTCGGCTATATTTTCGTCATTTTATGTTGTTTATCATTTCCATAAAATACATTCCAGTCATGTAGCCGTTTTTACGGCAGTATTTTTAGCGTTTGTATGCTTATTCTTTTTAACTGCCTTTTTTAATGTCCAGATGTCGTCATAATCGTAGTTTTTGAGCTACCAATGTATTGAGATTCCTGACCACTAAATGAGACTTTGGCAAACCTTCAGTCGATTCAGTTTTCCTCATGTTTGTCTGTTGTAACGCTATTGGAATGGGCCCAAAAGAGTCTTTTGCTCTGATACGGATTTTTGACGCATTTCTAAATGAAATCACTAAGATTGTATCTTTGTTTAAAGCTGATTTTGCTTTTAAAATCACTTGGAGTAACTACAAACCAATTGTATGTCTGTAAATTTTTGTTGCTGGTCCTTGTTGCGATAGCTAAGCATTTTCCTTTGCCTAAAATGTCTGCTTTAGATGTCAAACATTCCGTCGAAAATCTACCTAATATCGTCCATTCAGCCTACAAATGTCATATCCTTCAACATTTTCCAGAACACAGTCGCAGTTTTCCTTTCTCTGATGAATCCACTGCTCTGGTAAGAGTCATCTTATTCCAGTTGCTCTCCCCTCTTTCCGTACTTGTCATACTAGGACAGTTTCCTACCATTTCTTTTTAGCAATCAGCTTGTAAAATATCCGTTTCGACCAGGAAATTTCTTTTTAATCTATTTTCACATTATCAGTTTGGGTCTGAAACATCCAATAAATAAAAAAATATCCTCATTCATAACTTCTTATCCCATGACGTCAATGTTAGCTTGCATTGCACAGCTTTAGGTAGAGTATAGGCCTACTCAGCACTCAGGTGCGGCGCCTTCTATGGTTCTTCCTTAATGGACGAGAGGATTTGCAATTTTACACTTCTGCTCTGAGTTTCACAAGTCTCCCTTGAGGAAACTTGACTGATTTTAACTAGTGCCCATGACCACTAAAATGAGCCAGTCTCAGAACACCTAGCTTATACACCTATCTTATACTCTTACCACGTTTGGCCAAATCGATTTAACAATTAAAATATTTCCATCTTTCCGTCGTAGGTCGTTATGCCAAACGGTCTGCGCTTCTTCACGGAGACACATCCATTGCTGCAGAAGGCACGGGGGCCTTTTCGCCACGCCTTCATCATCACCCGAGAAGACGGCCAACGAGTGTTCGGCTACGCTATCCTCTTCCCCGAAGAGGTTACTCATCCGGCAGTCAAGGCTACCTTAAGAGAACGACAGAAGGCTCTGGGATCCTCCCCCGACTCCGAGTGCCGCTTCTTCACCATGAAGGTTGGCCCTCGCACCTTCCTGTCTGTCTTTTCCATGAATTATCAAGCTCAAGTTGAAATTTCTGTTTCCATTCTCTCTTGACTGTAGGCAGTAGGAATCCTTTCACGCTGGGCATTTGTGAGTGGATTTTTCGGTTGGTTGGAGGATCTCTGGTCCAGTGTGTACAGGAAGCAAATGGGTGATTTGACCATCGAGTCGTTTGTCTACAATCTCCTCTTTGAGGCACATCTCGCTGAGCCTGGCCAATGCAGCATTGTCTCTGGACCCGCTTGTCCGCACTTCTTCTTCCGACCATGTCAGTTTTCGCCACTCCCTTTAAAAGTTGGAAGCGTCTTTTCCGTTACATTTCAGTCGAGTCCAAAACGTCTACCCCACTGTTTTATCCCCCCTTAGTTAGCTCCGTCCGCCTCTAATCATTTCATAGCATAGCATAAACATGTCGTTAACTAACCTCATTGTCCTTGGGATGTCTCCGACTTCTACACTTTGATCATTGTTTACGAGCCTGCTTATCCAACTGTTTATTTTTGGTCACCAACAATTGAGGTTTAGAGCTGGTTTTAGTAAACTAAATTTAACGACGAATCTGTTGTGAGGGCCCTTATTTTGCAGTCCCTGATCCCTCCATGAAGACTCCATCCGATGTATATCTGTAAGTTCAGAAGGAACAAATCACGTGGGCTTCCAACATATTTTGTTTTGCTCTATGGTCCTTCACTTCTAAACGTCGTCTCCGTAATTACTCTTCCGCAATGTTCTCTACAAAGTAGAGGATGCTTTAGTAAAAAATTCAGAATCAGAAATGCTGATCCTGGACCAGATCCCAATCAATTTGAGAAGGGATTTGAACCCGATTTCAGTTGTTTTTCATGACCTCTTTGTGAACTGCATTGCGGAAATTTGTTGGCTTTTGTGCCTCGCATTGCAGGTCAGTGACCTGGAATGTGCGTATTTCACATGCTGTTGCTACCTGGATAGTGTCCCCTTTCACCCCTTCAAACACTTTTTGCGAACCTCTCTATCTGACCTGTTATTTTTAATTATTGTGGATGAAGTCTTGAATCTAGAACCATCATGATTTACTTAATGACTAATCAACATCATTCTTGTCATGCCTACCACTTTTAACAGCATCCACCAGGTCATGGCTTGACGTTTAATACAAGCTTTGTTGCTGGACTGGGGTGACATTTATCAATGCTGTTCGATTCGCGTTATTTAGGATGATTTGGGTTACTAATGTTTGTAAATCAAAGCTGCTAACTGGTTGGCTCCATTAAAACTTATTTTCACTTTCCTTTTAGCTAATTATCATGGGGAGGATGAGGCTCGTTGTGCAATGTCTAGTTGGCTCCCAGTCTTTGAGTATCCCCTTGTTCAGCTCCTTCAGCTCTTCTCCTCCAGTAACTTAATCCGACTCTTAACCTGCGCCTTCCTTGAGCACCGCATCGTCCTCCTCTCTGCTGGTATGCACGTTCCCTAATAAACTACTTAAATCTGTCTTAAGTAGACCCCCTCCCCGTAATTTTTTGTCTCCTTGCAGATTACTATCGGCTGATGGTAGTCGGTGAG